ACCTAATATCAAATTGTTTACCACCTCAGGGAAGGGGAAGATGAGGTTCTGAGGAAGAGAGAAAATTTTGGAACTAAATTTTTTTAAAATTAATGTTAAAATTATCTTTACATGTAAGTGGGGCATGGAATGAAACATTTTTAAAGCCAATAAAGAAAACTGGAAAATGTTTTTAAATAAAATAATAATAATAAAGTTTAGTTGCTAAGCTCTGAAAAAAAAAACATACATATGACACATTTTAATCTTCATCGTTAATGTTTCCCCAGCCAGTTTAAGTCTAAACAATCAACAAAACAATAAATCAAGTCCTGATTTATAGAGTTTGCCCATTTCTAAGATATAAATGCTCACATTGAAAATGTAACAATCAGCATTCCCTGGCTCCAGCATATCCCTGAATATACTCCCCAGAATAAGACCCTACACTTGGCAGTGAACTAACCTGATACATTCCTCTCACCTAGGTCAGCACGAGGGACGTAGAGGCGGGGAAGCTTCAGCTTTTTGGGACCATTGGCACACTTCCAGCCTCGAGCAGTTCATGCCAAAAGGACTTGATTTTGGTCTAGTAATATCAACAATAAATCAGCTGCTTACTCAGTGCTTCCTACACTGAGAAGAGGCGAAGCCAAAAGTTGACAATTTAGCAGTGCCCCGGGGATGGTAAGTTTAGTTGATGCTGACCCACACCTAGAACATTTACAAGCCATTGTTACAGAAATGACCTTTCATAAAGCAGTCTCATAATAACTCATAATACTCTAGCATTCATAATACAAAATCACTGGGAAATGCTGGCCTGAGTCATTCATTCAAAAAACTGCATATTTGTTGGAATTTCTTAAGCCATCTCTCATGGCCCTCCACCAGGCCCACCTCAGAGCATCATAATATGAGCAACAATCTATGTGAGAAGAACATAAAGCTGTCAAGTACCAGGACTTATCTTCCATCTGAGACACTGAACGTGTCACAGTGATCAAGAGACTGATTCTTTTAAAGTTGCAAGTCCAATAAAACATGATATGTGCTATATAGTTTTTATCTTAAACCCAAGCTTCTCGATCACTTCAGATGGCACAAGTTATTAACAATTACAGATTATGAAGAATGTTTTGTTTTATTTTAATGATTTTAAATCTTTTTGTATGGACAATTCTTCTAGATACTTAGCCAAAAACTTAAGTAGTTTTATTAAGTATAGTATAAACCAGGTAAATACCTTAGGATAAGAATGAATAATAGTGATGTGGTCAAATTGAAAGAAAAAAATTTAAAAAGCAGAAAATACCCAAGGGTAACAATGCCAGCTGGCCAGGCAGCAATAAGCTAGGGGCGAAAGAGTAGGGAGTGTTCTGATATGTTTCTGACAGTGGTGATCAAGATATTGAAATGCAAAATAAATAAGGTGGCGCACTAGGTCCAAATGAACGAGTCTCAGAGTACAGAAAGAACATGCAGATGTGATTGCTGAGCAAATCCTAGGAAATGGAAGAAGTGCCACAAAACTGGAGGGAGCCTAGCATCATCCTGGTTTTTCAAGGAAGGAAGGAATGTTTGCTTAAATTCATTCATCTGGCCTGTAAAATAAATGGGGATGGGGATGAGGAAGAGAAAGGAGTAGGAAGGATAGAATAAGAGAGTACTGAGTATCTAAGAGTATCGTACCATGGAGAGGGGAAAACTGAGCAGAGAAGACAGAGCATACCCCTCAAATTTGACCTCAGTCCAGCCAAGGACAATATTCCCCCCACCCCACCCCACAAAGATCTATCCTATGCATTTACCTAGCTCTTCAAGAGACTATTCATATTTTCTAAACCTATTTTAAATTATCCACTGCTCTCCTCCATTAGTGGGAATTAAGAATTGACTCCAGGGGGCAGCTAGGTGGTACAGTGGATAGAGCACTGGCCCTGAAGTCAGGAGGACCTGAGTTCAAATCCCACCTCAGACCAAACGCTTGACACTTACTAGCTGTGTGACCCTGGGCAAATCAATTAACTCCATTACCAAGCAAAAAAAAAAAAAAGAATTGACTCTAGACCTAAAACAATACATGAGCAGATCCAAAATTACCCAGGAGAGCCTTTCTCTCTTAGTTCTGAGGTGCAGGGGTAACCCCTCCAAACCCCTGTGGACATAGCTCTTTAGATAGATAGATTGTCCAATTACAAGACATGCTTTGGGAGCTGACCCAGTAAGAGATCCCCTGTTGGGTAGTCTCATTAAGCTGTTGGCTGTCATGGCCTTGCCTTTCTGTTTCAGAACCTAGTACTAATGGCTTAGCTCCAGGGGATGTGCCTGGAGCTATTAACAGATCCCCAGAGACTCATGAAAGCAATGTGCCTCAGAAACAGCTTGTGCTGGACTGGTCATGAAATGGCCCTGAGATACTTTGATAGCCTCAAATGCTGTTGGGAAATCATGGGCTAGTGACCAAGCCCTTCTAATTGCATCTGCCCTGGAGGGCCATGTTCATACCTTCTAAAGGGGAGTTAATTAGGTAACCCCTGAGGTTCTTTTCAACTCTCAGATTCCAGTACTTATCCCTTATTTCCATTTATTCCAAAATAATACATCCTCAAGGCCTGTCTGAGATGGCCGTGTATAGCTCCAATTCCACCTTAGGGCAACGGATTAGATCTGGGAATTTAAAGCCTTGTGAAGTCACAGGACTTTTCTTGGTTTAAAAAAAAAACAACTATAATCAAGCAATACAATTTTGTGAAAATATTGTAAAAATGAAAGATAATGCTATCCACATCCAGAGAAAGAACCACAGGGTTTGAATGCAGATGGAAGCATACTTTTTGCTCTTTTTCTCTCTTCTGTTGTGTTTTGTTTCCTCTTTCTGGTGGTTCCTCCTATTGGTTCTAATTCTTCTTTACGCATGACTAATGTGAAAATATGTTTAATAGGAATGTATATGTAAAGCCTATGTCGGATTGCACGCTGTCTTGGGGAGGGAGGTGTGAATGGAAGGGAGAAAATTTAAAAATCAAAAGCTTATGGTAGTGATTATTGAAAACTAAAAATAAATAAATTTTTTAAAAAGTAAAATATATATATAATGAGAAGCTCCCAGACACTATATGCAAAATGAGCGTGGGGAAAAGGAAATCTATTCCTGGCTTGACTCCCTCTCCAAAAATTAGATAAATTAGACAAAATCAAATAATAAAGCATGTAACTGAACCATGTGTAATGCAGAACATTATTTTACCATTTAGGTAGTAGAACCCTTTAGGCCATGGAAAACAGAAGTTGCTGCTTACTCTTGCCCCAGACCTCTTTCCTCCTAAATCTAAACAATAGTGAAATGTACTCTTGCATAGCTCAGGCTCCAGCCCTCAGATCATATCTCTGGAAAACTCCAAATTCCTTAGCAAGACCCTTATCTGGCTGCTCAGGCTCCAGCCCTCAGATCATATCTCTGGAAACCTTCAAATTCCTTAGCAAGACCCTTATCTGGCTGCTCAGGCCACATCCCTCAGATCATATCTCTGGAAGCCTCCATTGTGAGAAAGTTTGCAGAGCATTATCATATCTAGACAGAGGGAGAGGGGTGTCCTTGACCAGCCCCCCAAAAAAACCCTCTTCCTCTTGCCAGACTTCAAAGATCCATCCCCCTCCCTGTCCTGTATACTCCCTATATAAACCCTAGCTCAACCCCTGATGGGAGCTGCTTGATTTGGATGTGAATATCCCTGGCAGCCGCGCGCTAATATAATAAAGTCCACAATTTAAATTAGTCTGGGTCAACTCGCTAATTTTTTGGTATAGTACATGCTAACAAAACCACCAGTAGGAAAACTTATGCAATAAAATCGTTCTTTGCCTGTCATAAACTAATGGGAAACAGTAATTTTCTTCCAGGGATGGAGGGAAGAGAAAGAATAGAAGGAAAAAGTGACATGAAAACACTGAAGAAGCTACCTTGAGTTGCTGAAACAGGTCTCTGGGTAGACCCTTGCCTCCTCAGTTATCACTAACACCAGCTGCATCTCTGCTATCTATCATAGCCAACTCTGCCTTCTTAACCATCAGTCTTTTGGGAAGGCACCACTGAGGTTCATTGCCTTTAACATTGCTGATCCACTCTGGAGTCTTTGTTGATGTTCCCAGAAGCTCTTTCTGCTGCTTCTGCTTTGGGTAAGTGTTCTTTTAGCTTCAGACTTAACTATTTCTAAAGTGTAAATGCTCACAATGAAAATTTAACAATCAGCTCTCAAAAGCCCAAAGGATGGCACATACCTGGATTAAAGGATAATTAAGAAATCTTTCCTGCTCTCAAAGCATTTATAATCTAGCAAATAGGATATGACATACATACACAAAAGCAAACTGCTATACAATAAATATTTAATTATCATAGTGCAAAATAGAGAGAAAAACATAAGATGACTGTGTTCTGTGTTTATGTAGAACAAAGCGTATTTGAAGTAGGCAGAAGGAAGGAATTTCTGACCACAGGGAATCAAGGAAGGCTTCCTGAAAGAGGTAGCATTTGAGTTGAGCCATGAAGACTGGTGGAACTTCAAAAGGCAAGGACAGGGGTGGGAGAAAACATTTCTCAGCATCAGAAAAAACCTTGATAAAAATACAGCTACAGGAAGTCCCCAGGTATACGATAGCAATGGCAAACAGTACAGTTTGGCTAATGTATAGCTGACGTGGAGAAAAAAATTAAGAGGAAAGAAGGGTGGCACCAGATCGAGGTGTGCCTTGATGCCAAGCTAAGAAGTTTGAAAGATCCAATAAACAATAGTGAGCTATTAAGGAGTTTTGAGCAGAAAAGCAACACAATCAGATCAATATAAATGGAAGATTGATCTGGCATCAGTATGAAGGACCATAAGGTATAGGCTGAATTTATATCCCTGAGTACTAGATTCTGAGCCACCTCTCAGCATTGCTTTTTTCCCATTTCTAGGTGTTGGCCCTGGAGCAGCATGAGCCGGAATTCCAGATGAGGCCCACAGACACCCCTGGACATCCCCCACGCATCACAATGACCCCACTAGGGTGGCACGTGTATGACCAGACACTGCAGCTCCTGCAGTTACACCATCTGCCCCTCCCGGCTCCAGCTGGCCTTTCCTCTTTCCTCACTCCTTTCCATTACCATTCAGTAGAGGCTGTTTCAAGCAGATGCACCAGGCATCCTTATACACCGTGGTGAAAGTGGTGCCAACGCAGCTAGCTACCGCTCAACCCAGCTGCTTCCTGCACTATAGGAGCAGCCCGCAGGAATCTCCCATAAACTGTGTGAGAATCCACTCATGCCCCCTTCACCTCCTCTCGGCAAGTACTCTGTGTACCTTCTATTCCATTCTCCCGATCGTATTGATACTGCCTCAGTTAAAGGTGAGCTCCCTCCAGTGTATGTATGTGCCCCCCAAATCTCTAAGCCCTCAGCCCCTCAGGGGATATTCTAGGGAATTTTTTTCTTCATGGACCCTATCTTCAAACAACCACAGCACTCTCCCCATCTGCCTCATGCCCTGTTTTTCCCTCTTTTCCTTGGTTCTCAGCCAGTGGAAGAAAGGTTTTCTATTTTGAATTAAACTGGGACCATCAGGGAGGATCATAGAAGCTGATGAAAGGCATCCCAAGGGATCACCTAATACATCTCTCTGCTTCCATGCAGAGCAGTCATCAGCCTGCCTGAGGATGAAAGCTATGTGGGAAGGGGGAGGGGAAGGTAAAAAGAAATGAAAAGATGGTCCCTTAAGCCAGAGTAACCTGAAGGAGACAGGGTAGGCACAAGTAGACACTGACATGCTATAATCCTAGTTATGGCAGGCAACATGGAACAAGGGATAGAGAGTTAGCCTCCCAGTCGAGGTGACCTGGCCTCAAGTCCCCCCTCTGACAAATACTGCTCGTATGTCCCCAGGCAAATCTCTAGGACTATAAGTGTCCAAATAGTCATTGATCTGAATTAATGAAGGAAATTTCCTCACCAGGAGTTCCCACAGGTTCAGACCTCTCCCCCGCACTCCCCCAAAAATTCTAGCTACAAGTATTGTTCATACTGGAAGATGATATTACAAAAGGAGAATAGAAAGATGGGAATGGAGAAAGCTGTTGTGGTTGCATGGTTTGTCCTTCGTTCTTGAAGAGGACCATGACATCAGGGAGATGATGATATGACTTGCAATTGACTTTGATCTGAGTGAGGGAGGGCTGTGCAAAGTCACCAGCCTCACTTTCTCCTCCAGAGCCATCTGGGTCCAGTGGCCATATATTCATCAGGTCAACTGGAGACAGTCCAGGATGCAATGGGAGACCCTGACCCTTTTAAGCCAAGGTCTTTTCAGGTTCTCGCTTTGAGTGAGGCAATGCCAAATGAGAAAAAAGGGGGAAAGGAGGAGAGGAAATTAAAGAGGAAAGGAAGAGATTTTATGGTATAAGAAGACTGGAAAAGTGGGGGAAAGGGGAAAGAAAAGATTATGAAAGGCCTTGCAACACCAGAGGATTTCATATTTGATCCTAGAGACAATAGGAAGCCACTGGAGTTCACTGAGTAGAGGAGTTACATGGTCAGACTTGCACTTTAGATAAATCAATTTAGTGACTGAATGGAACATGAACTGAAATGGGGAGATACTTATAGCAATGAGACAAATCAACAGGCTATTACAATAGTCCAAGTGTAAGGTGATGAGAGCTTGCACACCAGGTTGATATGAGAGAGAGGTTATGAAGGCAAAATCAACAGGCCTTGGAAATAGATAGGGGAGGTGGGTCATGGAGAGTGAGGAATCAAAGATGTTGCCTAGGTCAAGAGCCTGGGTGATACCTTCCACAACAACAGGGAAGTGAGGAAGAGGGAAGGGTTTGAGAGGGAAGACAATGAGTTCCATTTTTGACATGTTGAGTTTAAGACATCTACTAGACATCCAGTTTCATATGACCGATAGATAGTTGGAGATGTGAGAATGGAGATCAGCAGAGAAGTCAAACAGCATAGAAATGATAATTAATTCTTTGGGAGCTGATGAAATAAGCAAGTGAAGTAGTATAGAGGGAGAAGAGGCCCCAGGACAGAACCCTTGTGGAACATCCCCAGTTAACAGGCATGACCTGGATGAAGATCCAGCAAAGGAGACTGGGGAATGGTCAGAGAGGTAGGATGAGAAGCAGGAGAAAGTAGTGTCAAAAAACTAGAGAGAACGGAATACCAAGGAGAGAAGGCTTTTTCAATAGTGGCAAAGTCTACATAGGGGTCAAGAAGGACAAAGACTGAGAAAAGGCCATTGGATTTGGCATTAAAGAGATTATTAGTAACTGGAAAGAAAGTAGTTTTGGTTGAATGATGAGGTCAGAATTCAAACTGTAGAGAGTAAGAAGAAAGGAAGTTGAAGAACCTATTGTAGAAGACTTTTTCAAGGACTTTAGTCAGAAAAGGGAGGAGAGATATAGGATGACAGGAAGGGGAGATGGAGGAAGTGAGGGTTTTATAAGGATGAGGAAGACAAAAGCACATTTGTGGGCAATACGGGAGCAGGTAGTAGATGGAGAAAATTAAGATAAGTGAGAAGGTGGTATAGAGAGGGAGCAATCTACTTGAGAAGAAGGGATGGAATGGGGATTACTTGGGCAAGCAGAAGGGTTTGTTACAGAGCTAGGTGCTGCAATGCAGAGAGCATTGGGCTTAGAGTCAGGGAGATCTAAGTTCTAAATCCAGCCTCAGAACACTTACTGGCCATATGACCCTGGGTAAGTTACTTAACCTTTGTCTTCCCCAACCACAAAATGGGAATGATAATACCACCTGACTCCCAGGACTTTTGTGAGAATCAAATGAGATAATATTTGTAAAGCATGTAGAGAAGTGCACATATTAGCATAAGTGTTTAGCATAGCTAACAGACATTAGGAGCTATTATAAATGTTAGATGGTAGGAGGAGGAGGAGGAGAGGAGGAAAAAGAGGAGGAGTAATGTCTTCAAGGAGAAGGGCTCCCCTTCACAAGAAAGAGTGATGAAGGCAGAGATATGATAAAAGCTTTCTAGGAAATGTGAGTTGAGGAGGAGGGGAGAAAAAGACATTCTCAGTAAATAACCTTAATTTTTTCAGTAAAATATGAGGCAAAATTCTCAACTGAGAGGGTAGGGGAAAAGGGAGATGTGAGAGGTTTAAGGGAGGATGAAAAGGTTTGGAAGACCCTGAGTGAGTTTTTTTGCTGTTCAGTCATTTCAGTCATGTCTGACTCTTCATTGACCCCATTTGGGGTTTTCCTGGCAATAATACTGGAGTGGCTTGCAATTTCCTTCTCCAGCTCATTTTTTACAGATGAAAAAACTGAGGCAAACAGAGTTAAGTTACTTGCCCAGGGTCACACTATAGTAAGTATTTGAGGTCAGATTTGATATCACGACAATGAGTCTTCCTGACTCCTAGCCCAGTACCTTATTCACTGCGCCATGAGTTAACTACAGAAGCACAATAAGATTTTCTTTCAACAGTGAGGACCCAGTTGAGGTTATGTAACATAAAAGTTTTAGTGGACCCAGTCAACATCATTTCATGATTTTTCTCCAATTTCTTTTAGCAGCATATGTATAGAAGTGAAGGCAGTAGATCGCAGGAATGACCCAAAGCTGACGCTTGGCAGGGCAGATCAGCAATTAAGAGGAAAGGGCTTCAAGAGAAGAGAAGAGATGGGAGGGGAGGAGAACACAGCTAGGGCAGGGATGATGGCCTGGGAGAGAGCTAAGGAATTGAGGGACCCAATGAAGGTTGTGGTGTGTATGAAGAGCAGGTCTGGAGTGCAAGGAAGAGGGTAAGATGGAAAGACAATAGATTATAAACAAATAATAGTTCGTGAACCTGGAAGTAGTGTGTTTGTGGGTGATGCAAGATCGAGTGCATGGCCACTTTTGTATGTGGCTGATGTGGGGTGGAGGAGTAAGTCACAGGAAATGAATAAGCTGAGGAGCCAAGAAGCTAGAGTGTTATCAGGATTATCAACATGTATGTTGACATCCCCTATTATGAGGTCAAGAGTTGAGGAGGAAAAAAAGACTGATTCCAAAGCCCTAATGGATAAAATTCTGTCAAGTTTTTCCATAACCTCTCCAGCTACTTTTTCTGAACATGGCCATAAACCTTCCATTCCCATTTTACTGAGGAATAAACTGAGATATTGAGTAAGGTGGGAGTGGTCCTTCCAGAGGCAACCTGACTTCTAGATGCCTTCTCCCAAATACTCCCACCCTTCACATGTAGGCACATCTTCCAGAATGAAGTCAAGACTTAGAGAAACAAAATTTTGAAAAGCCACAAAATGTTATCAAAGGACTTAAAACTTGTAGGGGAGGACATTAGAGATTATCTAGTCTAATCTCATTTTACAGCTGAGGAAACCGAGGTCCAAAGAAGCAAGATGATTTCCCAAAGTTACAGAAGCAACAAGTAGCAACATGCACAATTCAAACTCAGGTCCTCTGACACATAACCCAATGCTTTTTTCTACTGCACTCCATTGCCTCTTTTAAGGTCAAGGGCTCTTCCAACGTCTTTTCACCCCTTCTTCCCCTATGACAAAGGAGCAATACAAGTACTACCCTACAAAAGAAAAGATCAAGACAGATTGAAACAGTGAAAATACCTTGACATCCTTCCTCCCTACTCACCTCCCCTAAACTCAGGAAACACTCAATTGGGTAGAAAGCATTCAGGCAGGGAGGTCTGTGCAACTTCACAAGCAAGTCACCCTCTCTGTGCTTGTGGTGCCCAAGGGTGACTCTAGGTGTTATTCCACCCTCAAAGATATGTGTCAGGTTTCAAGACATATATGCATTCCTGTTTGGCCACTTTACTTGTGTTTTTCTTTTTTTAGTAGACCATCCCCCCTCTCCCAAAGTCCTTCCTGGAATACAGGAGCAGTGAGGGCTGAAGGGAAGAAAGATGCTAAACTTCTGGGCAAGAGGCTTGCCCCAAAGATAAGACTCCTTGGGAACATGCCTCTTGGGAACTTCTGATCAGCACTTACATAAGGAAGGCCTTCACCCACCTTCAGTCTTCAAGAGGTCATCAACTAATAACAAGCAGCTGGACGCTTACAGTACCAACACGGTGAGTGAGATTACCCAGAATTCCTAGGTGAAAAGAGGCGCCCTAACATATTTAGTTCCATATACCTGGTTGCTAAAGCCATTGGGCCCCCTAGAATTAGTCTGGAAAGTTTCCTATTTGAGAATTCTGTAACTCTGTGGGTACCAAGTGACAGCCCTTAGGGAGAATAGAGGTCTGTAATCAGTGACTGACTTGCCTGTCCCACAATCCTCATCCAAACAAACTTCCACATGTGACTGGCTCCAAGCTGCACAGCAAATGAGCTGGCAGACCAAAAGCAGTTGATGTTTCCACATTCTCTGACCCTAGGTCATTACAGCTAGAGAGAGGGAAGGGGAAGGGGAAGGGAAAAGAGGGGATTGAAGTCCTTGGAGGCCACAGGCCACTAGAGGGAAGGGTTAGGGGCAGCATTTATATAGCATAGAACTATCCAGTCCCTAGAATTATTCTGGAGACACCTGGAACAAGGACCTCTCACTACCAGTTACAGGGAGGCAGGATTTTGGTTCAGTAAAAAAAAGAAGAAATTTCCAACAATTCTAATAGCCCCCAAAATCATCTGATCCATTGCATTAAGTTCCTATTATGTGCCAAGTTTTGTGCTAGGATCTGGGTATACAAACACAAAGAAAAAGAAAGAAAGAACGCTTCCTCTCAAGGAGCTTACATTACAATGGAGGAGATAACAAGTCTATACAGAATAAGTATAAAGAGAATCAATAATGAGTAAGTGTAAAGTAGTTAACCACAAAGCAGTTTAGGAGGGAAGGCACAAGGTGAAGGAGTGCATTCCAGGTGTAGGGGACAGTCAGTCCAAAGAAGCAAAGACTGAAGAGAGAGCTTCATGTTCCAAGAAGAGAGAGGCGGCCATTTTTTGGCTATACAATATCTCAGAATATGGGAGGGAGAGTAATAGCCAGGGAGGCTGGAAGGATAGGTTAGGGCCAGGTTGTGAAGGGCTCTAACAGCTAAACAGACAAGTTTATATTCTATCCTAGAGACAAAAGTTGTTGATTAAATAGGGAGTGACGTGGTCAGATTGCCACCTAAAGAAAATCATTCTGGCGACTGTATAAGATGGACTGAAGTGGGAAGAGACTGGAGGCAGGGATGCCAATTCGGAAGCTTTTGCAACAATCTAGGTGACAGGTGATGAGAGCCTAAATTAAATTGGTAATTATGTGATTAGTGAGAAGGGATTAGGGATGAAAGAGCAAGAAGCCAAGGATAACAGCCAAGGGCACTTCAGTAAGAGGATGAAGACTGAGAGGATGGTACCCTTGACAGAAACAGAGAGGTTTAGAAGAGGGAAGGGCTTGGGGTTAAATAGGAGTTCAGTTTTGGACACACTGAGTTTGAAATCTCATGGGACATCCAGTTCAAAATATCCAATAGGCAGTTGGAGATGAGGAAACAAAATTCATTGGAGAGACTTAGGCTGGATATACAGATCTGTTAATCATTTGCTTAGAATTCATAATTAAATCCATGGGATTTAGGTAGTGAGTTCCCTGGCACTTGAAATATTCACACAGTGATTGAATAACAACTGCCAAGGAGGATAGCTTTTGTGGTTCTCTCCTACTCCAATATTAATTAGATTTACCTACTTTCCAGAGAAGTTTAAGGATTTGCTTGAGTTTCCATAAGTAACTATTGGCTGAAGTAGGACAAGAACCCAAGGCTTCTGACTCCAGGCCCAGGTGTGTTTTTCCTATTCCTGTATGCTGAATTGTTTTAAGAGAAATGGACTAGAAGAGGGAAATGGTTGGGGGTATCTTTGACAGAAACAGGTTCCCCTAAATCCTTCCCTTTTCCAAACTTCTCCAGAGAGAGACTGGGGCCTCTAACAAACAAGACCATAGTAGAAGTGGGTCATCTAGCCCAAAGACCCATCTGGTCTAGAGGAATGCAGACAGATAAAGAGAAACCACATAGATCTACTCAACCATCTGCTGATCCCACTCTAAAACAAGGAGGAATGGCACTAGTCAATAGAGCGAAGAGCTGATGCTCTGAGAGGAACTGTGACTGGCTCCAAGCTGCATAGCAAATGAGCTGGCAGACCAAAAGCAGTTGATGTTTCCACATTCTCTGAAAAGAGTTCCACATTACAAGCAACAGTCTGTAGATGGAGAAACCCAATCACAGAGCTCATGCAAAAGCCCTGGACCTCCAGAGAAAGGGTAGTGCCACAATCATCAGGAAACCCTGGCTTCATGCCCTGTGAGCTAACCACCAAATCACTCTCTCTTAATAAACCTATTATGTCCTATTAATGAAAGCCAGGATAAATGGTAGTTCATTCCCTCCTGTGAGCCCCTCCCTATACAGAGAGCCTCACAGGCTGCTGCTCGTTAACAATAGGTTTCTCCCAAACCTATTCAACAAGTGTTGCCCAACTGCCCACTCTGTGCCTAGCCCCAGGTTAGGCTCTCCAGGGACTTGGAAATATAAGAAGGTAACCCTCCCCTTTGATGGGGTCACACATTGCCTACCAAGTGAATTGTGACTTGAACTCCAGAGACTTAACCCCAGAGAGAGGAACTCTTCTACTTAGCTATGTAGAGGATCTGATCTAAAGAGAGATTTAAGCACCAAATTCATCTGGAACCTTTGGATGAGGAGTCCCCTAGGCTGCTCAGGATCTCTGGAAATGATAAAGAGCAAATCCTTCCTTCCCATTCTCTTTTATACTTCAAAATAGAAAGGAATCCCCAATTCAGATCAGTACAGACCCAAAGCATTTGGCCAATTTGGCTGGGCCTCAGGAAGGTGGCAAGTCAGGAAGCCATCCAGCTCGTCACATTGGCCTCTCAGGTAGTCACCCTGGAAAGGGTGTAGTCCCCTGCAGATATCTGGAAGTGAAATGTGAAAGTGTGGAGCCCAGCCAACTACTACACGGTCTTGGGTTGGGTAAGAGTTCTCCTAAGAAAGTTCTTCCAGTGAAATGAGAGGTCAGACAAAAGAGACGTGGAGGAGAAGCCCCACACCAAGCTCCCCCCTAACTGGAGGAGGGGATCCTGATATTATTCTGATCACTGAAGGAAACTAGCGGGCATTAAACCCAGGGAGGATCCCAAGTTGGGATACTGTTCCCTGAGCAAGGCAGGGCAGATCATCATCATAGCATCAGACAGAGCATCCAGTCCTATATCAAGATCAACTGCTCTGGGCAGAAGGCTGTCCTAAAATCACTTATCTCATCCATCAGCCCAAAGGCTGATGAAGCCACAAAGAGGCTCCTCCCCACCCAAAATCATAGGCCTAGAGCTAGAAAAGACTTCAGAAGCCATCTAATGCAACTTCTACATTTTACAAATTAGGAAACTGAGTCCCAGAGAGGTTAAGTAACACCAAAGGGCATACTGCTAGTAAGCTGCAAAGGGAGGATTTGAACCCCTCTGCTGGCTTTCAAGCTAGTACCCACTGAACTGTATCCCTCTCCCTCCTTCCCAAGGTAAAAGATAGAGCTAGAATTAGGGGTAAAGAAGTTGAGCTATGGACCTGAGAAGCAACCCACTTTGAAACTCATAGAAGGACTCTTTTAGTATCACTTTTTATATCTATGTATGTTTGATGCTAGAAAATTCTTCCCTCAGGACACATAAGGATCTATTTTGTGTTAAGTGGACCCGAATATTTTAAGTAAAGACCCAAAGCAGCTAATGGGCAGTAGTAAAACATGAGATACAACTTTTTAACTCAAAAGGGATTACTGTCGTTCAGTCATCTCAGTCCTGTCTGACTCCTCGTGACCCCATTTGGGGTTTTCTTGGCAAAGATACTATATTTCCTTCTCTACTTATTTTATAGATAAGGAAACTAAGGCAAACAGGGTTAAGTGACTTGCCCAGGGTGACAAAGCTAGTAAGTATCTAAGGTCAGATTTGAACTCACAAAGATGAGTCTTTCCTGACTCCAGGCCCAGCTCTCTATCCACTGCACCACGAAGCTGCCCAGCTCAAGGGAGAGAGAAGGTATAAATCTCTAACACCACTTAGAGGTCTGGTCTCAGGATCTCCATCTGGGCGACTTACAAAGCCTTGCCCTCTTCATTCTACCGATGGGAAAATGAAAAGAGGACTGTGAGAAGCTAAGGAACCCAGGGAGAGTGGGAACTGGTGTACTGACCAAGGCCAAGCCCCTGTCCAGCCTCTCCTCCTGCTTCCTTAATGACCCAATTTTAAAATCTCCTCCACATTTCCTTCTGGCCTAGCCCCCTTAAGGTACCATCAGGGTCAGTGATTCATTGTCTGCCCTATTATAATAGTCCCTATTTATCAGGCTTCCTTGACCTCTGACACAGGGGGCATAAGAGGGGACAAAGAAGGGTTTAAAGCCACCGTCAAGGATGCAGCTGTCACTGACATTATGACACATAGACCCCATACCCCAACCCTTTGGTGTTCTCTGGGACTAAGACATCAGGCAACCTACAGCTCACCATAGGCCTTCCCCAGGAACACACAGAATACAGGAGAATATAGAGTCATAAAGGAGGGGGGGAAAGCCACCCAAGTATAACAGATAGCCCTGCCCCCCCCAACAGTGAACCTGCTTCACCGTAAGGCATTCTCACCTAGCTCTCTCTCCTTCCCTTCTTCCGCAATATTGGTAGAAAAGGCTAGCCACTAAACACCTAGCTCAGGATGTCTAACTTTCCCTGCTTTTAGGCAGGTTGAGGGAAAGACTGAAGTCGTCCTCAGGGGTAGTGTCCACATCTGCTTCTTCTGGACCCCACAGTTCAATCACCCTGACTTTGTTAGAATAGCACAGCTGTCATCTGGATAGAAAAGTTCTGTGGGGTTGGCCCTGGGTGGATCCTCGGAATCACAGAGTTGTAAAAGACCTCTGATGCCATGCAGCCTGACACAGACTAGAATGAGAATCCCTTCTATGACATACCCAGCAAGCTGGCCAGAGACCTCTAGTGAGGGAAGAAGACCACACCACCTAAGCTAGTTGGCTCATTCTACTTTGGAACGGCTCTGTTCCCC